AAGGGTGGTATTTCCTCCTGACATTAAAACAACAGTAAGGTTTGGGCTGAAAAGTTCATACAGTGCGAATAACTCTAAAAAGGTCTCTCCCTTTCAATGACTAACAGGCTTCATTGTAAATGTAAATTCAAGATTGTGCTTTTATTTAAGAGCATGGACATCAAATGAAGCTGTTTGAATGGATTTGTGATGTCCTTACTATACATATATATATATAAAATATGCACAATATACACATACATGGACATATCTATAGTATATATAATTGTCTGACAGTCTGCCTATCAATCAAAATGTGAATCAAATTATGATTCTAGGCAGTTAACTGCACTGTAACTTAACTGCACACCTGTGTACAGCTCTCGATCTTTTTGCAAACCATAAACTCAAACACATCAAAGCTCAGAGTAAAAGAAAGCCACAGTACACCCAACTAGCAAAGAAAAAGAACAAAGCTTGAGTTCTCAAGACTAGAATGCCAATCATTTTATTTAAAAATAAACTCAACTGATGAGAAATTAAATTACACAATGATGGCTATGATTTACTGCGTAATTTAACATTAAAACTGTATTTTGTGCAGGGTCTTGGACTGAGGTGAAGGCAGGCAGGAAGACAGAGAAGTCAATGAAAGAAGACACTTACCCCAGTGTGCTTATAAAGCCATTGACAGTTCCTTCTGCATACAGGGAGACAATATCCCCTATATGCAGAAAACTGGACGCTGAATCAGACATCTTTGCTATTTACAGCACGCAGGAGTCTGGATGCTTCAGTCTGATCTTGAGAAGCCCGGACACTTTTCTTACAAACTCTTCCTGATATAAAGCGGGTGTAGGCATGCGCTTCACCCACAGTTGAAGTATAAATGCATCCCGGTAGAGTTGGAAAACGTGCAAAGGAAAGAAAACCTACAAAACTTAATCCCCGGTTGGATGTGCAGCTGGGAATGTCTAAGCGCAGACGTCCGAGAAGCAGAAATGACTCGTTGTTGCAGTTTGCGGCGTACCTGAGGTCATAGTGCCTCAAACCAGGAAGCACGCGTAACTTTTTGTCAAGTCAAAACACGCCTGTAGGGGAGGCACAGCGTGGAAGAATACAGATGAGACTCGCTAACACACTCTCCACACTGCAACAGAGAGCCCTGACAGAAAGAGAAAGCTAAAACAATCACTGAACAGACAGCGCTCTTTTTGTTAGAATATGAGCCATTTGGCGCGATTATTTTAAAACTACATAGGTCCACCTGTGTACCCAGGTGTGTATCTAATATATAATAGCGTTATATTACAACAACAAAATTTTATTTTAAGGGTCAGACTCGGAGTATGAGAAGGTTCCTCTATGAGAAAGCTGTACAGGCTTCTAAATAAACAGACCCACCCAACCTCTCATTTTATAAACTTGGACTAAATTTCCTGCTTTAGTTCATAAGACAAAACATGATATTCAGCAACACAATACAAGGGGCTTTTGGATTAAATATAGACGCACAATCTAATTTTGTTATTGTTTTGACAGGCCAAGTTCAGCTTCAGCAACCATGTTTTTCAGTCATATCAGTCTGATCCACCAAGTGATGTCTTTGTGCATAATGACAATAATGAAGACTTTGTGAATATTATCAATATTTGATGCTCCAGCAGCTCTTTATTCTTGAATGTAGTACTGACAGTTACTACAGCAAGAGAGTTTCACACTTTTGATGTGTTGTGGTTTATGCTCAGCGGCTTTCGATTCTGTTGAGAAAGGTGCAATCCATCTTTCCATTCATTTATGTATAACAAGGTCACAGTATGTCAAGTTGGTATATAAAATGATTATTCACAATAAGGAGCCATGGAAACTTCATCATCAGCAAGAAAAGATACCTACACACAAATCTGTGACATGCAAAATCACATTTGTGCACAAGTACTTGCTCTGAATGTCAAGCTGTGTTTCCACGTATTCAAAATGGATGTCCAGGCAAATTTGCATTCAAATCAAGCTTCAGGAGAGATGGGATGCAATTGTGGCTGGATTTGCATTGCTGGCTGGCGCTGAAAGTCAATTGGAAGTTTATTACAACTTTCCCACCCTCTCTCCTTCTGCAACCCCATGTTTTTGATTAAAATGTGAAAACTCTAGTTGAATAATTACTGGTATATGTAGGTGCACAACACAAGTGAGACATGTTGCTGAAGTCACAGAACACCTTCTCAGATCTGGAGTCCTGAAATTACATTAAAACCACTTTGCACATTAGCAAAGCTTTTAACCTTACAGTTATTATTTAAAATACAATAACTAAAGTGCTGGCTTTTCTAAATGCTGACTCTTTTCTAATTAGCGCTTCAGTCGGTGAATACATCACATGCAACCACAACAACATTTCTGACACCATAGAAGGTTTTTTTCCTAGCCTTGGCTATGGCCTCATTTGGAAATATTTTTATATTCACATAATCTCCAAGCCCAGTATTTTACAGGTTCTTTGCTACCCTCCGTTGGCTCGTTAAATCTCACTTTTAGCTCAGATTTCCCTATAAGGGCAAGGTCATACACAGATTTTGGCTGACTGCATATTAATGACTCTTAACAGACAGTCAGGTGAGACTGGCGAAAACTTGCATGAGCTGTAAATGACTACATAATACAAACATTCAAAAGTAATCAAATGAGCCAAATAACAACTGAGAGTCAGAAAGACAAAAAAAAAGTGTTAACTAGGAAGTGTGTGTGCATGCTATGCTCACTTAAGGCACATGACCAAAGGATCCTCCAGCTTTACCAACAGTTTGTTCGTCATATCCTTATTGACACAGGGAGACGTTAACAATGCCTCAGCCCACTTATCAAACAGGAGGAAAATTATATTACCACAAAAAATGTTCTTTGTCAGTTTTAAAACATCAATTTGTTGAGTTAATTAAAGTTCAGAAACACTGTAATTTTAATGAAAAATCGAAACGCGTTTAGCATCAGCATTTGTCCCAGATATGAAACATCATGCATTTCCTGTAAATGGAGCAGAGTAAAACCCAGAAAAAGTCTCTCTCAGAGTAACCACAAATGATGCCCTCATTAGTATTAGATGACATTTCCTGTTGGTATCATATATCTTAAAGCACTTAGATTTTATATATTATGGTTTTGCAGTCCCTACACCAAAACTTATATACTATAATATTTTGTGATGTGATTGCATATCATTATAATGATAGGATTAATATTTTAAATAATAGTTCACCCAAAAATGAAACTTGCAGCTTTTCACTTCACATAACGTTAATTGATGGACTGGAGTGGTGTGGATTACTTGTGGATTATTGTGATGTTTTTATCAGCTGTTTGTACACTCATTCTGATGGCACCCATTCACTGCAGAGGATCCATAGGTGAGCAAGAGATGTAAGGCTAAATTTATCCAAATCTTTTCAAATGAAGAAACAAATATGTCTAGGATAGCTTGAGGGTGAGTAAATTTTACAAAACATTTCATTTTCAACTATTCAACTTCAAATAAATAGTATCTAAATGTTATGACAATATAAATACATTATATGCATATATATAATTTTTTTTTAAATCTTAATTGATTGTAGAATGGTTTATGTGCACGCATAACTCTTTCTGATAGATGTGGATAGGATACTAATATTTAGGAAATGTTTTAAGGACTTGGTCTCTGTGTGTGTGGAATGAGTCTATTAGATGATTTGTTTGTTTTTTTCCCTGAGAGTGATATTCTAGGAGCATGACCTTACAGAACAAAACTGTCGCTGTAGATCCATTAAAAGTGTCGTTTAACATTACAGATCATCGTGAGAGAAGATCATCGTGTTTTTAGTGGTATTGTCTGTCGTACTCAAAATAAAAGCACTGCACTCTTGTGGTAAAAGAATACATAGCAGAAATATGTCTGTAGTTGTCAGTTTATAAAATGCCCTAGAATATGTAGACAAAGTTAACTAAAGCCATATAAAAAATTTCGTTACCTGAAATAATATATAGCCTATAAAAAACTTAAAACTTATTTCAGTTAGTTGCCAAGGAAACATCTAATTTCACTTATTTTAACTTGATGTACTAAAATAACTAAAACTAAAAAGAAAACAAAAAATAAAAACTATATAAATATTCACAACTAAACACAACAAAATTCAAGTAAAAAAAAAAAACAATAAAGTAAAAATCCTTAAAAAATAATAATAATAATAAATAAATAAATCGGTCAAAAATGACCAATGAGCACCCGAGGGTT